TAGAAAGTTTAAGCTGATTCTGACCAAAATGGATTTATATGAATTTATAAATTGGCTAAAAGCCACTGTACCATAGTACATGGTTATGGTCCAATTTTGCCAAAATTAAGAAGGAGAGAATTTTTATTTTATTGCACTTGATGATTATACATGTTTGTATAACAGTTGAGCTGATTTTCTTAAAAATTGGATTTTTCTATAATTTTAAATAGAATTCTCCATTTTTATTACATTTTCTGTACATGTACATGTACTTATGTTGTGTAGAAAGTTTGAGTTGATTCTAAATTTTTAAAGTTACTGAAATTACTTCTATGTTTGTTATTGTGTTCCCACTATTTGTTTGGCATGATTTTTGTAGAAAACCATGGACTATGAGCATGTGTTTTTTTTATTTTTTTCCGAAAATTTACCTTTTTTAAAATGGCTATAAGTCAACAATTAATTGCTTGAATCAACTCTATGTCAGACTTTATGTTATTCAATAAAGTATCATTAATCATTTCTTATTATTTATTATAGGTTGTGGACCTGAGGCTGAACTCATCATCTCAAGGACTGATCTCTCATTCATATACTGAAGATCTATAGACTGGGTTTAGGAACTAAGGACTGTAACACTATAAGACTGGTTTAATTAATTAAAATCATTGTTGACTTGTACTCTGCATGTATGGCTGAAGTGTGTTTCTTATTTTATTGTCATTTTTCATGACTTAATCTCATTTCTGTTTATAAGTCATTGCACCTGCTTCTGCATTAATGGCTCTCGCAATTATTTTAATCAAAATTCATAATAATCAATGATAAAAAGACAACTTTGTGTATTAAACAAAATGCTAAAATTATAAACAATAATGTTATGTAATTCTTTATAGTCTTCAGTTAATATGTACAGCTTCAAACAGCAAACAATTAACCTATAGCAATGACAACATATTTAACAATACTATACTTAGAATACTTCTCAATGTAGTCTTCAATAGCAGAGAATTGTACTTATCCTCTTCGTGTCATTAACCTAACAATGGAATGTAATTCATCATAACATAGTTACTGTTAGTATCTATTCTTCTTGTATGTAGTGCTCTTAGCATCACTAGCAGTAGTAGCCACTAGTGATCCCAGGCAGTGTCATGTGGAGGCAGCACTACATTGCTGCCCACACTAGAACAGAGAACAATATGTACATGTAATAATTAATACATGGGGCGGCGTGTTCTATCTGATTTATCCGCACGAGCTTCCGGTCGAGTTGAGACAAGAAGCAAATGTGGATAAATCCGATAGAACATGACGCTACATGTATTAATTGTTTTAGTGTATAGTTCCAGCAAAGATTACATGTGCTCTGCCTCTGCTATCACTGATATCACACTGGTGCACATTAAATAAAAATGAGTGTGCTACATGTATTTATAATATCACACTGTGGTATTGGTGGGAGTGTTCTGTGGATTTTATCACAACTGTTAGGCCTTTGATCTTTGCTGCAACTATACATTAAAATTATATTGACACATACCTAATGTACTCCAACCTTTAACAGGAACTTGCTATAACCTTAGGAAAGAGAAGGTTAATACATGACATGCACATACTGTAAGATATGCCCATTTTTAAATATCTGAACGTGTGATTTTGGAGAGGAAATTTTTAGTGAATTTGGTATTTTGATAATAGCCATTCAGCAAAATAAAATCCACCATTATAAACCATTATGTACACATGTACATGCTCAATGGGACATGGACACAAATTAAAACACACCAAAATTTAGCAGTTCAACAAATGCCACAACTTCAATTTACCAAAAGTACACTAGTTTGGATAATTTTAATTGCATTAGGTAGCTATTTAAAAACTGATTTATGAAGCACAAAATTTAGACACATCAAATGTCCATTATGTACATGTACATGTATTTACCAGTGAAAGTGTGAGGAGCAGTTAGGACATATAACCACATCTTCACTAAACCTGAACAACAGATCCCTTGAATGACAAACACCACATCCTGTACCATTAGCTGAACATTTCTACATAAAAATATTACAAGATAACACGTTACTAGTCACATGTACATCATGCATGACTACCAATAGGAGGGGGCAAGGGGGAATTAACATTTGGCCCCCAAATAAAGGGGCCCCCTAGTCTCAGGTTAATACATGTAGTAAACTCTTGGGGCTTGGGGGGCCTAATACAAACTTTAAAATACAGCTTTCAATATTGATGATATACATGTTATTAATTGTAGACAAAAGCTTCAAAAGATGTACATGTATTTACTTAATATAAAATCATATCATTATCAGGGGCTTATCAGAGTTACTGTCCTATATAGGGCCCATGCATGTATATAGCCTATTTGGAGCCTGTGTACATGTACATGTATATACTATGTTGTACCTGGTGAAGTGAC